ATGTGCATTGCTATACTGTACCGCCATTGCCATCAATTCACCTTTTTGTGAATGTCAACCATTGTATGTCAATGCCACGCATGATGCCTGCCTTGGACTTCCATTTTTAGTATAGCATTATACTACAAATTTCTACAGCAGATCAACAATAATAGTTTAGAATAGTAGTTTTTAATTATTGTTTTTAATCATAAGGACTAATTGAAATGTATGTGGGATTTATTTTTTATTATATGAAAAGATATCACAGGGTACACGTTTGCTATATCCATCCATGTTACGTCGAAACATATTTCAGCCAACTCGTATAAAATGTTACAGAAGAAAACAGCCGCATGTACGTTGATAAATCTAATTTGATCTGAGCTATTTGGGTATCCACCAACATCTCTTCGTTTGCGTAATGTGACAATCTCCTGACTCCGAAGTGGATATTTTATTCCAGCCGAGGCAATACTACCTGTATAAGTAGGGTATATATGGGCACATTGTCAAAATGGTAGCAAATTATATTTTAGTTCTGACAATTACCGTCAGATGGCGCGGTCGTGTATGTAGCATGGACAAGAATCATGTCTTCTGAGTTGCAGAAATGTGATAACGACCACAGGGTTGCATTACATCAACTAACATGTAATTTGACCCGTATTTACCATACTTCCTTTATGCGTATTGTAGAATAAAATCCGAAATACCTTACTTTAGGGAACGCTTGAAGAAAACGTTGTCACATCTTCTCTTCGCCGATCACGGAATTAATTTTAAAAAAACGCTATTTCAGAACTACTTAAGCTAATACCTGTGATCGGAAGCATATCTGAATGCTATCGGACGCGTCAACAGGTTGCAGATAGTGGAAAGACCAATTCTGTTTACTGCGTAGCTGTGAATTAAATAAACAGTAGTGGAAAGTCAGCGGTTTCAAAGGGAGGTTCTCGGAGGAAATGACCGATTGGCAATTATCTTCTAGACCGACGAGGATAAGTGTTTAGTGTTCTGCATCGATCTTGGCGACATAAATGAAAATTTGACCCGACATCGTGAATCCATCTCCAGTCTCATTGAAGAATATGGCAGCTTCCGCCTAAGCGACATAGGATAATGCTGATGTCACCGTCATCAATACTCTATCCTCAAATCGACAGACGACGTCAAATATGTCAGCTATGGACACCTCCGAAGCAGAACCCGTCGTAAATACATCTACAGGCCATTATTTCTGAGGCAAACGGCTTCTAAAGGGACTGAAGTTAAAAGTGAGTGCTTCAAAGCAACTGTGGAACCTTAGCTGACGGCTCCTGCACCCAAAGTGCCAAGCCAAAAGAATCGATGGATGAAAAGGCCTTTCGAAAGAAAATTTCTTATTGCCAGTGATACGTAGATAACGATCCCAATATGATCAGCGCAAAGGAATTCAGCTGGATAAAGAAACACCTAGGCATAAATTCGTGCCCAACATAAATTGATGCGGTTGCACCATCCTGATTATAGCTTTGCTAACACTACTCGGCATTTGTTTCTCATCTGCTATTATGGATGGTATTCTTGTACTGCCTTGTAACTGGGCGACATAGTTAGTATGAATGTTATTCAGATATGCCTTATAGACTTTTTGATCACTTTTTCTATGTACCGGATTGACTTGAAGAAAGACTTCGACTAGAGGTTGCCACCTAAACTAATGCAAATAAATACATAATCCATGTCTTCGTAGTTACCTATCGTAAATACATTGGCCTTAATCTCGCCTATAAATAACACCGGACTTGAACATTTTTTTTTTTGTTCTCAGTCTGTCGATAATACAATCCGACCTTTAATTTCTCTTCGTATGTCGATTGTAGGGGGCCCTTAAGTCGTGTACTGAAAATTCAAAAGGCGCTCTTGACGGTAAAGATGCTCTGGATAATTGACGACTGAAAGTTAATTTTTGTTGGGTTCCAAGACATAGTGACATAGATGGGAATGAAATAGCTCACGAGCTTGCTCGAAAGGTTTTGCAGTCGTCCAGTCTACCGATGTACCGATGAAGGATCTATACAACCTCCAATTGGATATTTCATTGGGGAAATCCAAAACAGCTACTCCGAAAAAGCCTGCAGCATAGGCCAGAGGAACTTGGATGCAGGATTTCAAAAAACTATCTGACCTGTGTTCTAACGTCACGAGATATGAAAATCACTTTAGGGACGGCTCTTTCTTCAGTACAATGGACCTCAAATTGACTAGTGATTGTTTTACAATTGCCTATAAAGTCATTATGGTTTTCATTATGACTTTAATGCCAACCTACCTTTCTATAAAGATTACCTGTCCTGTAAAGTCCAGCCTGTCATTTAGATCGTCTAAAAGTCCTCCCTGTCCTTCAGCTCGACTATATGTCCTCCCAGTCATTCGGCCCGTCTACAAAGACGCTCTGCTATCCAGATCGTTAATAAAAGCTACATTGCCTTCAGCTCGACCATATGGGCTTTATGTATCTTAGTCTATCTATGAAAATACCATGATTTTCAGGGTGCCTATAAAGATTTCCCGAATATCTTTAAAACTGACTCCCCTACCTTTAGATGTTTAAAGACTTTATTTCACTCAGTTTAGTATATAACCTACCCTTCGATCGCCCACAAAAACTCTCCGTCTTTCAGGTATATAAAGACTCCCTGACATTTTATTCGCCCCTAAAGACTCAATAGTATTCAGTTCTTCTAGTGCTTCCGGCCCTTTAGCTCGCCAACAAGTACTCCTTGTTCTTCAGCTCGGATTAAAAAACTCCCTATCTCTCGGCTCGTCTAACCTTTAAATCGCTCATAAAAATTGCTTGACCTTCAGCTCGGATATAAAGAATTTCTATTCTCCAGCTTCTCCAAATACACCTTGACCTTCAGTATGTTTATAGATTGAACATAGCCTTCAACTATTATATAAAGACACGTAAGGCTTCAGCTCGACTATGAAGACTTTATGTATCAGAGCCTTTCAACTGGACAATAAAGACTCCCTGACATTGAGTTCTATCCTAAAAACTCTACATAGACTTCGTGTCTTTAAAGGGGAAACACATATAAGGACTCCATGCTTTGTTTTATTTTGTAAATGAATATAAATGAATGAATCAAGTCATGACAACCTACCTAACCTTTAAGGGAACCCCACCCATTCTCGATTTTAATTTTTCAAGATTTTCTATGGGCTGGTAAATCAATACCAAAGTTTGTTAAGGTTTGTAACTTTGCTTTGCTTTGAAGATTTAAAAGAGAGGAACAATTATTTACAAAAAAAAATTATTGTTTTGTTGTTGTTTTTTGTAATTAAAGAAAAGTCCTTATTTTTGATGGCGGGCATGACAACTCCTCACTGGAACATCGGAATCCGAAAATTCCAACGGTGTTAGAAAGAGTACATGTGTGGCTCTCGTATGAACTAGGATTATTGACTTCCCTCTAAAATTAACAAAATGGCGGACCTTTGAAAAAATATTTTTGAAAAATCGCCGATTTTTGATCAAAAACCAAGTTAAAAAATAAGGAAGATCTTCGCCGATTGGCTTTATCCTAGTTCATACGAGAGCTATACACTCACAGAGAAACGTGTAAAAATTTGGTATCGATTGGGTTATTAGTTTTTGAGTTATCGTGCCCGCCATTCGCAAAAGAGAAAAACGTGTTTAAAGTTTGAGAAGCCCTTTAGCCGCCACTTGATGCTGTCACAATAAATCTATATATATCTTCAAGAGTTCTTGAGATTTTCACTTGAAATTTTGTAGGGACATTTTTACCCCGAGAATGGGGGGTCCCCTTAATCGTCCATAAAGAATAAATTCTATAATAACTTATTCATAGGTCGGAAAAATATAATAATTTTTATATTTTCTAAAAAAATTCCCTGAACTATTTTACCAGGTCTTCAGATGGTCTAAGAGCTGTTTTAAAGATTCACAGGATCTCTAGAAGGACTCCGACATTCAGATAAGATATCCTGACCTTCTGTTCGTTTATAAAATTGCTCTCGTCTGGTTCTTTTCAAAAATATTTCATACGCACACCATGATAACTTTTCACATACAAAAAATCTTATAAATACCAATTAGTTTTTTTTTATGAATTATAGGTTATGTGTTCGTTTTGTTTGCTTGTTTCTTTGCAGATTTCATTGGGTTATCTAACAACAACAATAATAATAAATCATTTAATGTAATTAATGTATTTGTTTTTGTCTAGAAGAGATTTATAGATATGCAGTTGGCGGATATGTTGTTGAAAGGAGCGCTTAATTTTTTTTCTATATTAATTATTATTATTTTGTTTTTAAATTCTCTAATAAATAATGAGCATATACATAATAATATATTCATTGTTCGTGTATTACTACATATGTATGTATATATAAATAATTTCGAATTTCGGTTAATATCATTTTAAACATTTTTGTTGTTGTTCTTGATGTTCATTTTGAGCGGACGTCTTAGTTGGATTTTTTTGTTTCCTTTTTTCTGATGGAGGGAGGAAGGAAGGGAATGAAATTTGGTTGGGATGGACAATGCAGATATTTGTGGGATGCTTCTGGCTTATTAACCGCAATGGGAAAGTAGGACAATATCTAGTGTTATTATTCTATTTCATCATTGCCAGCAATAAAAGGTTTTGATAATATCGAATACTTAATACACATTCAAATCCTTAGCAAAGCTCCGATTTATATTTGATAATCTAGGGTACAGCCTTCTCTTTGGAATATTTCCTTCCTGGCAAAAATCAATCACCTGCCTAGCCACCCATTAATGTCCGCATTGTACTTTATTATTAAAGGATCCATCGAGGTTTTTGGTTCACTTTGCTTTTTCTGCCTAAATAATGCGCATAGTTTTGTTGTTGTTGTTTTTGTTAACTTTTAAATATTCTAATGACAAAATTTGCAGTTTCGTTTTTGTTTTTGGGATAATTTGTTATTTTTTATTTGCTTAATCGAAAATAATTTAAGGAATTCACAATTTAAATACTTAACTACAGACTTAATTCGGGTAATGTGGTCATTGGTTGCTGTTGTTGTTTTTTATGCATTTTCAAAAATTCAGCATCATCACCATCACTATCCAGTGGCAAAAGTGATGATGATGATGATGATGAAGATGCCGATGGTCCAGCATCTGCTACTGTATCGGATGATGGCACTGGTGTTGAAGAGGAAGATGGCATCCAATTGGAATTGTTTGCATCTGCAGCCGCTGCAGAATCTGCATGTGAAGTTGTGCTACTATTATTGCTGTTGATGTCTTTATACAATACACCACCACCCATCACATTATCCTTGGCCTCTTTGTGTTGTTGCATTGTTGTCACTGTGGCATTTGGTGCTGTTGGAGATGATGCGGATGATTGAGGTGGTGATGGTGATCCTATTGCCATTGATTTTTTAACTTCAGCATTGTGTTGATAGCGTTGGGTGTCCTCCTCATGAAAACGATTTCTTCGAATACTATTACCACGTTCAGAGGCCATAGATTGTGGTGACTGATGTTGTTGGTGCTGCTGTTGATGATGGTGTTGTTGCCGCTGTTGATGAGGCACCATCCTATTGTGGTGATTAGTATTATATGCTGATGGTCTTAAATGTTGACTCTTTTGATGGGGATTATAATAGGAATGCTGTTGTTGTTGATGATTTACATGTTGCAGCTTCCATTGTTTACGCCTTATATTATTATTGTTGTTGTTTGCGGTGGTGGAGCTCGGTGGCCAGCGGCTAAAATAAAGAGAAATTATTAATATTTTAAATAAGTGAAAAATAAATGTCTGAAGTTTTCCAAAATATGTGCTTATATTTCAACAAGGAACATTTTTATACCCTTCACCACACTGTGGTACAGGGTATTATGTCTTTGTGCATATGTTTGTAACAGGCAAAAGGAAACGAGATAGACACATGGTTCCTTTTGAGAATATGTGCATGTCTGTCTGTGCATGTTAAATTGTAAACAAAGTACAGGTCGCATTTATGATCCGAATTGGATGAAATTTGGCATAGGTCACTTATTCGGCCCAAGGACGAACCCTATTGAAATTGGGAAAAATCGGTTTAGATTTAGATATAGCTCCCATATATAGTTTCGTCCGATTTCATATAAATGGTGCACCAAAGTCCCTATATATCCTTCGATTTCCACGAAATTTGGCATAACGTACTGAATTGAGCCTAGAGTGATGTCTGTCAAGTTTTGAGAAAATCGGTCCAGATTTCTATATAGCTTCCATATATAGTTTCGTCCGATTTCATGTAAATGGTACAACAAAGTCGCTATATATCTTTCGATTTGCACGAAATTTAGTATAACGTACTGAATTGAGCCTAGAATAATGTCTGCCAACTTTCGAGAAAATCGGTCCAGATTTAGATATAGCTCCCTTTTAATATAGATTTATTTTAAGTAATTGACGCACCAAGGAACCAATAGGCTGATAGGAACGAAACGTTCTGAAATTAGTATAACGTAACATGTGACAAGTTTGTTTGAAATCGCTTAATATTTGGATAGAGCTTCCATATATATTTTCGCCCGATTTCAAGTAAATTGTTAGTCAGTTTGACATCAATTTTTGCACAACTTACAAAATTGAGCATAGAATTACGCAGTTGCGTTTTCTAGAAGTACAGACATAGCCCAACGGATGACCTATTTTATTTGTTTGAAGTCGATTTACATACTTTATGGATATATCTAGGTAGATTCACATTTACATAAATATCACATATTTTATTTCATTCAATTTCATGTTAATAGTCCTGCTTAATATACCCATAGTGGTGAAGGGTATCTTATATTAAAACTCCCAACCCTTCAGCTCGTCTTTAAATGCTTCTGCATAAATATTCTGTTATTCTGCAGCTCATAGAAAAGGACTTCTTATCAGCCCCTATATATCAAAAACTCTAATATCAAAAAACTGGTTTTTAAAGAATAGATTTTTAAAGAGGATTTTCTCAAGGATCTTCAGAAAAATAAAGATGAGGTTTTTAAGAATATTTTCTCATGGACCATAAGAGAACTAAGAGTATTTTATCATCAAGCTCGCTTATGAAGATTACCCGATCATTATCTTCCCTTTAAATTCCAACATACCTTGACAATTTCCTGCGTTTTGTCGGTGATCCTTCATAATCCATGCGATTGGAAACAAAATCGGAATTGCCATTCAGTGATGAGGTTATTAAACTGGAAACTATATAATAAAATAGAAAAAATGAATATCCCTTTTATTCAAAACGATTTTCCACAAAACTTACCATGTTTCCGCTTCGTGCCTCTTTGTATAATACTATTTGAGCTGGTGGAGTTGTTCGAATTTACAACTGTCACTGTACGTTTAATGGTACAACTTTTGCCCTTACAACTTTTGAGTTTGGCCAATGTATCATGCATATACGACTTCTCAGCCTGTGTAAGCGATGAGGCGCGATTTAAAGTTTCGAAGGGATCTGAAAGCGGATTTTATTATAATTCGAAATTAGTTTTTAAATTTTTGAGGTTATCATCTTACCAATTTTCAAATCATAAAATGTTATTAGTCCCGTCGTAAATTCACAATATAAATAATTGTGTGTGGCATTTATGGTCCTTAGGCAGGAATAAGTATTATTATTAGCATTCATACAGAAACAGAATGGACTATCATTCCATAACGGGGCGGTACGCCAATGAGTATTGTCATGCGAAAAACAATTCATTTTCTCCGATAGACATTCCTTTTCCAGGCGTGCCTTCTTGATCCGTTTCCTTTCCTTTTTGCGTTGCCTTTCCTCCTTCAATTTGCGTCTGGCCTCTCGCGCAATTTCTTTGGAATCTTGATAACTAAAAAGAGGAAAAGAATAAGAATAAAATTCAAAACTGAATGAAATATTCGATATTTAAAATAATGGCGTCCAACTTGACGCTAGTTTATTAAATTCCCTCTCTTTCTCTCTTTGGGGCATCTGTAAAAAGTCGAACTACTTAAAGCTGGTCTACACAAGTCCCACGTTGGGCGCCATGTAAGAACAAATAAAAAAGAATTCCTTCAGAATCCCATTAGCTAGTCTATAACGACTCCCTTCAGCTCGTCTATAAAAACTACATACGGATCGTATAAATGAGTTTTGTATGGCCCTGCCTTCAGCTCTTTTAAAGAGACTCAATTCAGCTCGTATATAAAAGCCCCTTAGGGCCACATTTATCCGGCTTGAATGGCCCCCTGTTGGGCGCCACGTAAGAACAATTTAAAAATGGGAGAACAGATAGATTTCGTTCAGCTCGCTTATAAAGACTTCCTTCAGCTTGTCTATAAAGACTCCCTTCGCCTATAAAGACTTCTTTCGGCACGTCTATAAAGACTCTGTTCGGCTCGTCTATATGGACCTTCAGCTCGACTATAAAGACTCCCTTCAGCTCGACTATAAAGACTCCCTTCACTTCGTCCCTTCAGATCTTCTATAGAGATCATTATAGAGACTCCCTTTAGCTCGTCTATAGAGACTGCCTTCAGCTTGTCTTTAGAGACTGCCTTCATCTCGTCTTTAGAGAGTACCCTCAGCTCGTCTACAGAGACTCCCTTCAGCTCGTCTATAGAGACTCCCTTTGGCTCGTTTATAGCGACTCCCATCGGCTCGTCTAAAGCGACTCCCATCGACTCGTCTATAGCCACTTACATCGGCTCGTCTATAGAGACTCCCTTTGGTTCGTCTATAGAGACTTCCATCGGCTCGTCTATAGCGAATCCCTTCTGCTCGTCTATAGAGACTCCATTTCGCTAAAAAGATCGCCTCGCCCGAACTTGACGATGTCTTTACCTGGCATATTACTTACTCTGTATCCGGTTCACAATAACATTCAGCTGGTCCTGAAAATTGAGTATTGCCAGTATCATGCCTAGAATTGTAATATGTTTCTTTGACTTCTTCCTTCTGTCCTCGATGTTTGGGTTTAGTTCTGTGGCCCATTTCCGAACTGGATGCTATGCTCTCCGAGGTGGAACTTGGATAGCTGGATTCTTCATAGCTACCTTGGGAAACTGGAAACAAAAATCAAAGGAAATTTTAACATTTGATTCCATATTGCCAAAAACCCTACCTTCATCCGATGTACTTCTCCATGGGGTATTTTTATTTGGACCATCTGGCAGAGTTGTGGTCGTATATGTATTTGGCACTTGATTATTGCGATGTTTGTTTTTCTGTGTCGAGGTCATAATCTCCTCATAATTGGTTCTGCGTGAAGTACTAGTAAAATAGTTCATATCGAATTCAGGATTCTCAACATTCGATACAATGATTCGTCTCCTTCCAGCGCTGTTTCCAGCGGAGGAGTACATGGGATTACCCATAACTCCCGCATTGTTGTGATAACGATTATAACCATGTTGAGACTGAGGCTGTTGGCCACGATGACGACCCTTTTGATGACGATATCCCGAGCCATAAGCATTGGTATTCGCTTCCCCATTATTGTATTGATCTCCCCGATTGTTGTTGTTGTTGACGAATTCATTATTCCAATAACGCCCTTGCTGTTGCTGCTGCTTGCTTTCCCTCAATTGCTTCTTGATATCCTTCAAATGGGTAATTTTATCCTTCAATACCTTGATAAGCATATCAATTTGTGATCGCGATTTACGCCATGTCTTCTCGTCATCATAAATAACATCGGAACAATTGACTTTACCACTTTGAGATTCAATATAACAACGAGTACCGACACGACCACCCACTTTGGGGAATTTTCCGCCTCGTACAAATCCAGCCGAAGTCATTTTGGTGGCCGATGTCTTTGAGGTACTATTCACCGTCCAGTCATGTTCAACAAATTTCAGCTCCAATGTTTCCAAAGTATCCTGAATTTCTTGTATAACTTTGGAGATGGCATCATTGGAAGCGTTGTTCTTTTTATTCTCTTCACTATTTAAATTTTCAGGATTTTCGAATAAATGTGCCGTAAGTTCTCTTTTGGGCCTTGATAACTTTTCAGCGTTCTTTTTATGTTGCTCCAAAAGATACTGCTCGAGGTTGTGTACATTTTTATGGATATCCAATAATTCTTCCATTTCATAGGGCAGCTCAGAATGGTAGAGTTCCTCGATATCGAAATTCTCAGTGTCACGTTTGTGGCGTCGGGAATTTTTACCAAAGTTTTGGTTCCTAAAATTAAAAACACAATTTTTATTATTCAGAATCTTCAATATCTATTCAAATCCTTACCTCTTCCGAACTTCAGGTTTAATATAGACCACACCATCTGGTGTAAAGCAAGCACAATTACGTTTATTTTGATTCTTTGGGTATTTGGATATTTCTGCCAAATGATGCTGCAATTGGAGCTAAAGAGAAAGTCAATTAATTTCATTTCCCTTCTCTAGGTCATATAAGTCCCTTACATGAAATTTACACTTATGTTTCCGCCATCTTCCATTCTCATTAACACATTTCCATTTTTGCCCAGCTCTACAATCTTCCAAGAGACTTGGATCAGAACATTCCGAATTTAAACGCATCATTTTTGTATTATACGGGGTCAATGGCAGATTATTATCAAATTGATCTTGTTGTTCGAGTTCATCATTTGTGGCATCGTTATCCTCCTCCTCTTCGTTAATAGCAGCTGAGGTATCCGTCTCATCTTCATCATTTTCAAATTCGAAATCATCATCGGTAATTTCTTCATTGTCAGTATCTGTAAATCAGAAAAAGGGATACGATTAGAAATTTTTGAGAAAAATTGACTCAATTGGATTCTTTTTAAATGAATGATTTTTAGAGCGTCCATAAGGACTCCGTGGTCTTCAGAACTTCTATAAAGACTTCCTGAACGGACGTTCTGGACGTCGAAAAGGACACATTACCCTTCAACTTGTCTAAAAATACTCCCTGTCCCTCCAGCCACTCTATAAAGACTCCATGACCAACTCCTCATAAAGACTCCGTGGCCCTCCAGTTCCTCTATAAAGAATTCATGACTCTCTAGCTCAATTATAAATACTCTCTGACCCTCCAGCTCTTCTATAAAGATACCCTGGCCCTCCAGCTCGTATATAAATCATGCCTATCCCTCCAGTTACTATAAAGACACCTTCGTCCTCTAACTCCTCTATAAATACTTTCTGCCCTACAATTCCTCTACAAAGACTCCCTGGCCCTCTATCGTCCCTGCCCCTCTAACTTCTTGATAAGGACCTTATGGTCCTTTAGCTCTATAAAGACTCCCTGGCACTCCAGTTTCTCTATAAAGACTCCATGACCCTCCAGCTATAAAGACTTCCTGGCGCTACAGTTCCTCAATAAAGAATTACTGGCTCTCCAGTTCCTTCATAAAGATTCCCTGGCCCTCCAGCTGAAGCCCTGGGAGTTTTTAAATCAAAGACTTCGGAGTTTTTATGGACGGTATGATTCTCTATAGATTAACTGAAGGTCCTATGAGACGGAGTTAAGGACCAGTGAGTCTACATTGACTAGATGAATGACCTAGCAGTTTTAATAGACGGGGTGAAGGGCCAGGGGGTCTTTATAGATGAGCTGAAGGAGGTCATGCTGTCTATTAATTTTTGGGTATATTCATTTTTGTTTTTCCGTTTGTAACTTATCGAAATAATCATTTCCGACCCCATATTCTTAATCAGCGTAAAATTCTATGACGACATAGCCATGTCCGTCTGTCTGTTGTAATCGCTTTTAGCGTCTAAACGAATTGACATAGATCGCCAACTTCGAACTTGTCCTGCAGGCAGGACAA